GGGGCCGGCGCTCCGGAGAATCTCTGAATATCGGGATGGATGCAGCTTGCTGGGATGAGCCCTTTACCAGGACTACCCAGCTGAGCTGCCCCAAATCCCAGCTCTGGGGTGGGTTTTGCAGCAGGGCCCAGCAGCAACCTCTCTCCCCACATTTTGTGTCCCGGGGTTCAGCCCTAAGCGCTATCATCTTCTCCTTTTCTTCACCTACCGGGCTTCAAGGAAGCCCCCAAAAGCAGAGCTGCTGAGGACCAGCAGCAATTTAAGGTGTTTGAGGGGTAGGGAGGGCAGGTGAGCTCTCACCCCTGCTTTTCTTCCCTCTTCTCCTTCCCTTTCCCAGCTCTGGACCCCCCCCCACTGGCTGGGGGGGGCGGGTAACCTGCCGCCATGGGGGTTAAAACGATGCTCCCCAGCTACGAGCTGGGTTTTTACGCTCTCACCGTGACCTGTGCTGTGCTGTACAGCGGCAGCGGGATCTTCGAAGCATCCCGAGGTAACGCTCCCCATCGCATCCCTCAGAGGGGGCCCTGGGAGGGAGGGTGGGTGCAAGGGGGCTGCTTTTACAGCTGCTGATGCCAGCAGTAGATCCCCGGCTCTAATTTTTGTAGAGAAGAGCTTGGGGATCTTCGCAGGGAGCCAAAAAGGTCTTTGCCTTTTCCCTGGTTACCCCCTTGCCCCCATTTCCATGGCTAAAAGCAAGAGGCTGGGGCACATCACAGCCAGCACCTAAACCAGGCAACCACCCTGCCTACACAGGTCCGGTTCCCAGATTTTTTTCTCTGGAAGCCCCAAAAATTGAAAATTGCACGGGATTGGCTGGGGGGGGGGGGGGGGGGCGGGGGCACCTGGGATGTGGCACTGCACAAAGGCTTTGCTGGGAAGTCATGGTGAAGCAGTTGAGGTTCCCAATTCCTATGGTTGTCCATGGGAATTGGGTGCTTTGGGGACGGGCTGTTTGAGCCCTGACAGCTCCCCATCACCGGGAGGAAGGCTCCCTGCCTTGCCAAAACCCGGGCCCCATTTCCCAGAGCTGTTTCTCTCCCCGTAACTCTGGTTCTTTTGCAGACAGCATGAACAGAAAGGCTTTTCGGGAGGGCATCAAGCCGGGCTGGCACTACTTCGGCAGGAAGATGGTAAGCGGAGGACGGACTCGGTCTTTTCTAGCTGCCGGCAACACGGTCCGTGCTGACCGCTGGAGAAGCAGAGCTGGTTTTTCTGCTGCTGACATACTTTTGCAAAGTCCACGTGACTCGTGTTTTTCTCCCTAAAGAACAAGTCGGGAAAGTATCTGCCCTGCAGCGCCGTGGATGCTCTGCTTTGTGTGCGCCGAGACGAGCAACCTCTGCACAGCTCTCCTGGGGTTTTGTGACCGAGCTAAAGTGCTCGGGAGCCCTTGGGTGGCAAATGGGAAGAAAAGGCTTTAAAAGTTGTGTGGTTTCCCCTCCAGGCGGGTGTCGGGGTGGGGTGCGAGGGCTGGGGGCAATAAGGCGCCCGGTACTGCTCCCGCAGGACGTGGCCGATTTCGAGTGGGTGATGTGGTTCACCTCGTTCAGGAACGTCATCATCTTCGCCCTCTCGGGACATGTCCTCTTCGGCAAGATCTGCTCCATGACGGTGCCACAGGTGAGCCAGGGATGTGGTGGGATGGATTTGAAAGCACCAGGGTGACCTGGGGCTTGAGGGATGTCCTAGGATGGGGGGATGTCCTAGGATGGGAGGAGCAGAGCTGAGGCTTTTACCAAGGTGACCATGGGTCGGGGCCGCTCTCTTCTCGCAGCACCGGGCCGTGGTGTACATGCTGTATGGGGTCCTGGCCGTGCTGGGCAGCATGGGGCTCGTCTACCTGATGATCATCCTCTCCCACTGCCTTGTCCTCTACTCCGTCGCGCTGGCCAAGCAGAAGTGGCTCTGCTATGTGGCCGGGCTTTGCTGTCTCGCCTCCTTCAAGGTGGAGCCGTTCAGCTCCTGGCAGGTAGGTGCTGTCTCAGACCATCCATTTGCCTCATTTCCATCCCACTTCTGTCCCTCTCCTTGGGTTTATCTCCAAGGAGGGCTCTCCCAAACCCTGGCCACTTCTCCTGCTACGCCAGAGCTCCCACAGTGTTTGAGAGGGAGGGAACTGTTGTGCCACTGAGCTTGGGAATAATCCCACAGGGGCTATGTTGTGTTTTGGTGGCTTCATGCTGGGCCAGACCTCAGGACACCTGAGTCCTTGCTGCTCAGGCAACAGCTTGTCATCTGGCAAAGACGTGTTCCTGCCCCGTGTCTCAGTTTCCCCACCTGTAAGACAGTGCTGGGATGGGTTCAGTGATGCCGATGCCCATCTTTTAGGTCTCTGCCCTGTTAGGACATTCTCTGACTGGTGGGTGGAGAGAAGCCCAGGAAGGATCTTCTAAAGCTATTCAGTCCCTCGGAAGGACAGTGCTGCCTGTCCTTGCCTGTTGCTGACCTCCTGAAACGCGTTCCCCCCCTCTCCATCAGGCTTGTGCTGGCTTTCCTTCACCTCCTGGGGAGGGTGATGTCCCTGTGACAGGCTGACATTCCCACCCCAGACCAACGCCTGCATGGCCCACAGCTGCTTGGTGAAGGCACGGTCAAGAGGATCTACCACTTCCCGGCTCCTCTGGGATGCAGGAGCCAGCCAGGAAATCAAGCCCCAGTTTTCTCCTACCGACAGCAAGGCTCATTAACTCCAGAAAACAATTGGGTTTGGAGCGTAATTAGAGGCTTTGCCCTGGGAGCAATGTCCTCCACAAAGCAAGGGAGCACAGAAATGACACCACATTCCTGGTGGTAACTCTTTGTTTCTCATCCAGAGTGGGTTTGTAACGGGAGCTTTTGATCTTCAAGATGTCCTCTTCTATGGAGGAAGTGGCTTCACCATCATGCGCTGCATGAGCTTTGCACTCGAGAGCTCTGAGAGGAAAGAGGGCATCTATTCCATCTTCGACCTCCTCAAGTACAACTTCTACCTCCCCTTCTTCTTCTTTGGGCCTGTCATGACGTTTGACCAGTTCCATGCCCAGGTGAGCTCGTGAGACTGGGCTGGAGGAGGACCTCTCCCCATGTTTATTTGCTTGGGTTTAATGCCTACAAAAAATCCACTGTTTGCCACTGTGACTGTGCAAATAGCTGTGGAGCTTCTCGTGGTCATGTAGAGTCTGTGGCCACAGTCTGGGCTGTGCAACCATGCCGTGATTTGGGGGGGGGGGCGGAGACATGGACGGGATGGGACATGACACATTAACCAATGGCTTTTAAACCTTCCCCTTTGGGTTTTTGCATTTTTAACCTTTCCCTTTTGGGATCATCTCCACTGGTCAATACAGGAGGGAAGACATTGCCGTGGTGAAAATGCCATGCTGGGATGAGGAGGGGAGGGTTCAGCTCATGTCCTTGCTCGCTGGGCACCTGCACTGCTCAGTGCCTTGGTTTCCATGCGCTGTCATCCCTGCTGTGCGGTGCTGGGAGGCCACGGTGAGAGCCAGACCTGTGGTGCCCATCCATGGGACCTCTGTGTGCTGGTGGCTGTGACATCAAGGGATGTCTCTTGTTTCCATCCAGCTGGTTCACCCAAGGAGCATGAATTTCTGGAAATGGTCTGTGTTTCTTAAGATGAAGTTATCTCTCTATAAATAAGATTGGCTGGAAGGCTGTGTTTCAGCAACCAGGGGCTTCTTCTGCTCCCCATGAAATACCCTGGTGCCCCAAGTCTTTGCCTGTATCACACACAACCAAGGGGACCTTTTGAAGAGCGGACTCCAAACAGCGCTGGAAAACATCAGCAGAAGCCTAGGCTGGGACCAGCTGGGGGTGTTTCACATCCAAAGATGAAGCAAAACGGCAGCGTTCTCTCCCTCCTCACTCTTCCCATCACAACGTCCTTTGACACCAATGATCAACCTTGGTCATCAAAGCAACTGGTACTGCTTGCTAAGGGAGGGGCCTCTTGCTTGGCCAGCGGTGGTGCTGGGAAGGATCACTACCACCCCTTTGTTTCCTTTTAAAGAACAGCTACATTGAATTTTTGGACCCCAGTTGATGTCTGGGTGCAAGACCATTTTGGAAACACATTTGTGAATTCAGAAGAAAAACCAGCCCAGGGCAGGGGAGAGCAGCCAGAGCCGCCCTGGTGAGGAGCAGACCAAAGAGCCACCCAGCCCAGCACCTTCTCTCCAACGATGGTCTGGTAGTGGTTGCCTAAGAAACTGGTCTTGTTTCCTCCAGTGAGCAGGATGAGCCCTGATCCAGGTCCTGCTCATTGCTACTTCGTTCACCTGGGGCATTAACAACCTCGTGCTCCATCTGAAAGGATGAGAGTGCAGGATTGTGATCCCTTGGGTCTTGCAGGATCTATTTAAAAGAACTTTTATAGAATTTGACCTTGAAGATCATCAGGTCAGCTCTGGTGTTCCCCATGAGGGATGCTCACTGTGCATTAAGTCCATGAACAGCCCATTCTCAGCAGAGAAGCACCAGGGATGACCAGGCCCCAGCCGGGCTCTTCTCCCCAGGCTGCTGCAAGAAATGTTTCACCCGAAGGCTTCATCTTTCCAGTTGTGTTTTATCTGTTGGGCTGAAGTCCAGGCAAGCATGGTTCCAGCAGTTCCACTGTCCAAGCCCCTCCAGAGGGGGTGCAATGCCCCAGGGTTCCCTCCTCACCCCATGTTCCTCTTCCTTCCTCAGTTTCCATCAGTCTTTCCTATGAGATGGGCAGCCCTGACTTCTTCTAACACTGCAGCCAGGTATCTATAAATCAGGGCATTAAACTGCTGGTGTCTCCAAGACCTGAACTCCCACCACCCCTACAAGGCTTGATCTGGAGCACCCCATTCCTTTTGCACAGCCCCAAACCATGATGTTTATAGCCACTTAATGAGCAATCCCCCTCTCGGTTGCTTAAAACTCTTACACCAAAGGCACAGGGAGTAAGTCCCCAACCCCTTTCCCATGCCCCAGCCAGGGGTCCTGTCTTGGCCTGGCCACCACTGCCATCTCCTGGCTAGATGGCCCCTTGCACTACTGGAGCTGCAGCTAATTGCAGAGGTGAATTCCTAATTGCCCAATAGCAATTATGGGGACAGGCAGATGGAGTCCCTTCCCCAGGGTGAGGTGTATGGCCCAGTTAGGGAACAGATCCAATTTTTGCGTCCTACTGGTGCTATGTCCTTGCGCCCCCATGTGTGATGGGAATTCATCTGTACCAGGGCTTGGCCAGCCCCATTTGAACTGAAAAGCATCTTCCTTACTAGGATCAAGGGGACAAATTCACTTCTGTAGGGCTGGCAGTGGGGGGGACGCAGCCCTGATCCCAAGGGGGTGGTGGCAGAGTGCTGCCACTGCACGCAGACATGGGGACGAGAGGAAACAGCCTCAAGTTGTGCCAGGGCAGGGTGAGGTTGGCCATGGGGAACAATTCCTTCCCCTTGGGGCTGTCAGGCGCTGGAAGGGGCTGCCCAGGGAAGGGGTCGAGTCCCCATCCCTGGGGGGATTTAACAGCCGGGCAGAGGCGGTGCTGAGGGCCAGGGTTTGGGGGTGGGATGGCAGGGTTAGGTTAAGGGTTGGACTTGATGATCTTGAAGGGCTTTCCCAACCTAAACGATTCTATGAAAGGGGGGTTCTGTGTCCTCCCACATGTCTCCATGCCAGAGCTTGTCCTCCCTCGGCTTCTCCTCCAGTTCAGGGTCCAGCAGCCTCTTTGTATCCTTAAAGCACTTGGCATATAACAGACATGAAAAAATCTGGCAAAGGCTTTAATTCTCAGGAATCATCTGGATTTGACGACAGGGCTGGTGCGGCAGCCTGCGGATTACGTCGGGAGAGCTCCCACCTCTTGCAGGGAATAAAGGGAAAGTAATAAACATAAGAGGATTTTGAATACAGCAGCAATTTTTACGGCGATGCAGGGAAGTGAGGACATCAGTCTGCCCAGTGTAATCCTGAAAGCTTGCTCTAATGACTTTTATATTACAATGGCCAGAGACATGACAGCTTCTGGAGACAAAGCCTGGCCTCTGATTGTACAAGACACAGTGGAGAGGAAATCCCCATCGATCAGGTCCCAACCAATTCAGGATGGTCCCTCGAGCAGCTCTCCCTCTTGTTTACAGCAGGTGTCTTCGGTAGAAGCTCCAGAGACCATCAGTCATCCTCCTCCTCATCATCCCAAATGACCCTGGCCAAAAATATGCACCTGACCCTGGCAGAGCTGTCAGGTGGGATTCCAGCCCTGCTCCCAACCTCTCCTGGGCATGCAGATGTCCTTCCCTTCAGGCTGTGGCATCTTGTAGATGTGATGGGTATGGGCATTTGCTCCCCCTTAGCGACCTGTGCAAGGGGCCACCCTTAAGCAAAGTTGACTTTTCTGAACATGTCCCTGCAGAAAGAGCATAAACCCCCGCTCCCTGGTTGGTGTGGTTCTCACTCCATCTAGGGTGCTTTAGGTACAGCCAGACCTGTCACTGCCATGTGACACTGCGTGCCTGCTCTGCTGGAAACCCCAGTGATGGGAACAACCTTTGCTAGGAGGGTGATCCATTGCTGCTGTCTTCAGCACTGAGGCGGGGTTGTTGGAGGCATGCTGTGGGTGGGACGTGTCCTGCTCCCTGTGGATGTGTCCATGTGAGGTAGTCCCTTGGGTCTTCCTGAATCAATGGAGATTTCGGCCATGTGTTCCATGGTGTGATTCCTAAAGGACAACGTTGAATTTGGACTTTGAACATTTCTCCGGCTGGAGGAACATGCTGCCCGTCCTGTCTCTCAGCTCAGCCCTTTCCTGGTTTGCCATCCTGGCAGGTGAGCACCCGAGAGCTGAGACGCAAAGATGACGAGATGAGGAACATCCGGGTCCATGCCCTCCTCCATGTGGGGGCCATCATCGCTGTGGATATCTTCTTCCACTTCTTCTACATCCTCACCCTCCCTTCTGACCTGAAGTTCATGAACCGCCTCTCGGACTGGTCCTTGGGTGAGTGGCCATGCTCGGACACGCTCACACCTGTACTCAGCTTCAAGGCAGTGGTGAGTGGTTCAGCTCTCCATCCGTCTCCATTGAGAGGCTTCATCAATGCCTATCTTGGACAGGTTTGGGTAGAGCCCCCCCGTGCTCCTTCCCATTGACACTGCACAGAGTTGGGGTCTGTCAGGTGGCATTGGTTTGACACCCTCATAGGGTCCTGGAGTAAATTGTTTTGCTTGGGGTTTAAGAGGCTGAATACCAAGCTGTTCCCATTGCCTTTGTCTGGACTGGAAGGGAGCTCAGAACCTCCAAAAAGCAACCCCATGCTGTTGCAAGAGGGATATTGGTATCTCAGATACCTTCACAGGTGGCCACTAACTATGGGTGATTGTGAGCCACTGAAACATACATTGTACGGAGAGCAGCTCAGGGGATTTGTAGCTGCTGTCTTCAACCTCCTAGTGGGTGATTGTGAGCCACTGAAACATACGTTGTACCTCCGTACAGGGGATTTGTAGCTGCTGTCTTCAACCTCCTAAAGGAGGGTTGTAGAGAAGGTGAACTCTTCTTGGAGGCTGACAGGGAAGAAGCAGGACACAGCAAACAAGGTGCAGCAAGGCAAAGTTGGATTGCATGTATGGACTTTTTTTTTTTTTTAGAGTGGTCAAACATTAAAACAGGGGTCCAGAAGGGTTACAGATTCTCCAAAAATAGAGATATTCAGTGCTTAAATGGACAAGGTCCAGAGCAACCTGATCTCCATTTGACATTGGCTGTGCTCTGAGCAGGGCTGGACTAGGGACCACCAGAAGCCAAACTCCTGGGATAAGTAGTGGTAGTAGCACCGGCATTCAGCTGGCAGCTGGATGGAGGGTTTCAGCTGTCCAAATACACATCTGATGGCAGCATTTGAGATAGGGTATCTGACATCCACATGAGGCTGGCACAGGGCAAACAGGGGCTGGAGAAGCCCCATGTCTCTCCAGAGTGGCAGCTGGAGGTCAGGAGAAAATCCTAATGCAGCTAGAACAGCACTGGCATTGATTTAGGGTGTCCTAAGAGACCTGGGTGGATTCAACAAGCATGTGGGAGCTAAGCTCCTCTGCAGGCTCTGCTGACTGTATTGACCAGATTTGCCTTGTCCACGGTGGGAGCTCAGGCACAGCTCACATCAAGGCACTGTGCAGCCTTTAATCCATGAGCTGAATCCCACCAGGATTCCACCTGGGAGCTGAATCCCACCAGATCCCATCCCACAGGGACATTTTAAATTCTTTTTGCATAGGAATTTGAAATCTTTGGTGTTTTTTTCCTGCAAGGGTTGTTTCCAGTGTCAGACACCTCTCCAAAGCCAGAGGTTCTGGCCCTGGCTCTGCTGTAGCATCAATGCTATATCTATGGCCACAAGGAGCTGGGATGGGATGCGTTCAATGAAGGTGTCAATAAAACCTCAGACGTCAGAGTCAAGAATGGTGATGAGTTTGTCATAGGTTAGCAAGAGTCAGAGGGACGAGAGATTTTGTGCTGGAAGAAATGAGATCTGTATGAGTTTCTCAGACTACCAAGACCGATAAACAGTTTGCGCCCAAATACCCTAAGAAGATATTGTCCTTTGGTTCAAGCTTCTTACACAGCTACTTAGTTTTAAAAGCTTTGCTGGTCCAAGACAGCATTAAACTGTCTTCTTGACGTTATGTTTGTGGCAATAGACTACATGCTCCCATGGCACATGATGTCCCCCAAAGTCCTGAATGCAATACATCCCGTGCTCCCTTTCACATGTTTGACTCTCATTTTTGCTCCAGCTGGCTTGGCCTACTCCAATCTGGTGTATGACTGGGTGAAAGCTGCTGTCATGTTTGGGGTCATCAACACCATTGCCAGACTGGACCACTTGGACCCACCCCAGCCCCCGAAATGCATCACCATGCTCTACGTCTTTGCAGAAACGTGAGTATCCCACATGCATCGATGAAGAGAGGCAGCATGTTTGACCTGAATGAAATGTGCTTGGTGGGGAGGAGGTCTGGGCTGTACTTCTGAGCAGCTGCCTGTAAGGTGGAGACTACCTACACTGAACAGTCTATACTGAACCTACGGTCTAGACCTGGCCATAGTGCAGGGAAATATTCTTGAGGAGGAAGCGATGGATAAAATAGGTTACAACCACATCGGTAGTGGGACCTTTTCAAGGAAGGAGCATGGAGAACTCCTGTGAAGAAGGTTCAAGAAATACCTCACCAGGGGACCAGGTGCCTTCTATGGCCGACTGCTGCACGGAAGGGTGTCATTACACTTCGTGTTTTGACATGTTTTTTATCATCTGCATTTTAGGCACTTTGACAGAGGGATTAATGACTGGCTATGCAAGTAAGTGTCCGATCAACCGTCTCTAGGCTGGTTCAGGGTCTTCTCTTTCATCACAGAGCAATGAAGCATTAAATGCTCTTCATCCCAAAGATGAGGTGTCCTCTCTTCTGGGTGAATCCCACTACGGCATGAAGTTATATTTGGTCTGTTTATCTCTAAGACCATTGAATTAATCACCACAAAGTGCAACAGCTTCCCCACGGGAATAAGAGAGTTCTGTCCCAGAAATCCCTTTAATTCTGGTGGGTTTAGTGTTCCCTCAAGGGAGGAAGAGTCAGGTTCACGTTCCACCAGAGTGAAAGGGGAATTGAGCCCAGGTCTCCCATATCCTGGGTAACAAGGGTGGCCTGAGCTCCACCTACACCTCCCTCAGCCCTTCAGCTCTCTTCAACCATGAGTACACACCAGCAGACCTGCGCTGAAGGTGGTGGCTGCTCCATCACGAAATCCTGTGCACCAGCAAGTCTGAGAGAGCCTGCAGATCCCCATGTTTTGTCAACCCTTTATCTGCAAGAGGGGGAAAGGGTGGTATTTTGTCCTTAAGGAGCTATAGGTTTGTGAGGAACACAAGCTGCAAGCATCTGGACTGTAGCGAAAATCAGGTTATTCCTAGAACATGCCAGCCAAAACAACCTTCCTTTCTCACTGGGGTGGTCTAGATTGACCTGCCTGTGAGGAGGTTGTGGTGGGTGAGTGTGGGAGAAGGGGCTCCAGAGGGATCTCCTTGATTATGAGGATCACTGACCACTTTCCTTGGCCGATAGGTACGTGTATGACCACATTGGAGAGGACCATGACAACATCATGAAGGAGCTCGTGGCCACCATTGCCACCTTTGCCGTCACCACCCTGTGGCTGGGGCCCTGTGAGATCGTTTACATCTGGTCTGTCTTCAACTGCTTTGGCCTCAACTTTGAGCTCTGGGTGCAGAAGTTCTTCCAGCAGGAGCCTTTTGCCAAACTGGAGGTGAGGAGCTGGGCTGCAAGTGGGTAGGGGAAGATCAATGGGTCTGGGGCCAAACTCTGCTGCTGGAAAACACTCCTGACTTGTATGGACCATGAGCTTTTATAAACAAGTCAGATCCATTTTCAGCTGAGACTGAAGACCAACATCCCTGATGATGCCATGCAGCTCCGTGTCCAAGCCTGGAGACCTGAAGTTCTCTCCTGTGGCCTTTAGCATCCTTCTGATCGGCTACTCAGCTGTACAAGGGAAGCAAAGCCCTGGTGCCCTGTATCCCTTCCTTTTATGCACTGTGTCACCCACCCAGAGCAAATTCCCACCTACCCCTATGATGCTTCATGAGAAATTTGGGGGTGGGGCTTTCAGGGGGAAAATAGAAGTCCAAGCGAACCAGGAATGCAGCCCCAACGAGGCACCAAAGTACCAGAGATGGACACAAAATCTGAGGTCTGTACATGGGGAAATGTTTATACATTTCCATACGGAAATAATTTATTCTTCTTGTTCTGCAAAACGCCTTGACATTCTGAGTGGTTTTGATCCGATTTCTGATAAAGCAAATGTTTAGGCACCAGAATGAATTATTTTCCAACCACTCCAAAGCTTAGTGCCCTGCCTCTGTTCAGGACCAAAGTCCCTCGGGGATATGTTGGAATTAAAGCTTAGGAAACTCCATCCTGGAAACAATTATGCTCCTTATTTGTTTTGCCCAACCTGAAGTCTGGAGGGCCTCAACTGGTTCAGTGAAGACCCCTCTTGAGTTAAAACTTTGGAGAGCAATCCTCTCATTTGCTCTCCTTGTTGAACTTCTAATCAGATTATAACCCCTGCAGGCAGAGAATTCTCCTTCCCCGCGGCACCGCACTTCTCAGCGCTAAGTGGCCTGGGGATTCACCGTGCTCTTTGAAGATGGCTGTAACCCACTTCCCCGCTCCTCTCGCAGCGGCTGCTCCTGAGGATTACGTCCCAGTGACAATTTCATTCTGCTGCTGTCATTAGTTTTTGGCTCTTTTTTTTTTTTTTTTTTTTTTTTTTTCTTTAATTCCTAAGGAACAATTTCTACCAGGAGCTGGGAGTGATTTGCACACAGGGCTAATAATAATCCTGATATACAACAGCATTCATCAGCCTTGAGGAATGGCTTACCCAAGGCAACGGATGAAGAAAAGCAGTACTCAGCCTTTACAATTAGCATGAAATGGCGTGAAATGTCTTGCCCCTACCCATGGGACCTTGAAACACCAGTCCAAAGCCCCAAATGCATCTGAGTCCAGCAGCAGAGCAGAAGTTTTACCTTGTCCTTATATTTTTTCACCCCAGAGACAATAAAGGCTGCTCTAATTTTTGCCTAAGCCCAGCTGGAGTTTAGCTGGAGTTGGACCAGTGCCTCCCCTTTTCCTTACAGCCCCATTCTTCCTCACACTCTGCTCCTCTCCCTTCCACAGGCCAAAATGTCAGAGGCCATGTCTCGGAGGATTAGGGCAGTTTTCGGGGCGGCAAATTTCTGGGCCATCGTCCTCTACAACATCCTAGCCCTCAACAGCCTGGAGTTTGCACTGCTGGTCACCAAGAGACTCCTTCTGACGGGTAAGATGCTACCAGCCTTCCCCACCGAGGCACCCTTGTCTTGCTGGAGGGACAATGGTAGGGGAGCTGACGACTGGGACTTCTGAGTCCTCTTGGTGGCCTGGCCCTTGGCTTGTTACCTGGCTGCTCCCAATGTGCTTAATTATCGTTCAAAAGGTGCAGGAAGCTGTTTGTCAGCTCCCACCCTGCTCGTGTGAACTCTCTGGGGTATGGGCTGCCCTCCAGATGTGTTTGTACAGCTCCTAGCACAGCCCGACGCTGTCATTGAGACTCCTTGCAGCAACGCAAAGGTGACATTAACCCCACCTCTCTCCCCTTGCTGGAGAGAGGGATTTACGTGTCCTACCTCATCTCCTCTTGCTTCAGCAGTTACTTCTGCATCAACCCGAAGGTGACAGGTACAAATCCTTGTCCTGGGCTCCTGATGAACAGCCTCATCTCTACATTTCTAATCAGTGGATGGTGGCACTATTTTGAAGTCTTCCTGAGCAGCTCAGGTTATAAATAGCCATCGGGAACCTGTGTCCTCCAGCCCTCTCTGAGATGGGGCTGGCGTAGGAAGTGGATAATGTGACGCTCTGGGCTCAGTGCGCCAGAAGTGCCTGCCCGCTGAGCTTGCTGGCTTTTGCTGGTTGCATTATTCATTTCAGAGGTCCTGTTTTAGCAGGTACAAAGCCTGTGTCTCCCCTCTGCTGTGGATACCAGACTCGTGGTTACAAATATCGTCAGACCCTTCCTAAGTGGAGGGAGAGCTTGTGGCTCTCAGTCATTGGCGTAGGTGACAAAACCATGTGGTTCCTGGGTGCACATTGTGTCCCCACTCTGTACGGGACGAGGCTGGGGTTGATCCTCAGCATCAGCGGGACACAAAGCTTCCAGAAGGTCACAGTGCTGAACAGCAATGGACCTGGGCAGGTTGAATGGGCAGAAAGTCAACCACCATGTCTGAACCTGGGGGGAAGAAGGAGTTTTGGAGGTAGGGGAGTGCTCAACGCCACCCCAAATGTTCCCACATTAGCCACAGTCCATGATGCCTTGGTGGGCTCAGGCACCGCTTCATCTAAAATCTGATCCTGGGAATTTCTCTCTTCTCTCAGTGAAGCTGTAGGGCTGGATCCAAAATGGAAAATGTCATTGGCCATCATGAACTTGTGGGACCTCCCAAACCCACCTGAGAGGCAGCAGTGCTGGAGAAGAGCTGGCCCCAGTAGGCAAGCAGCTACACCCAGATGACCATGTCTCCCTCCATCTTCTAGGTTTCCCTGTCAGCACCTTGTCCATCTGGTTCATCACGTACTGTGGAGTGCAGCTGATCAAAGAGCGTGAGCGCGTCCTGGCCGTCGAGGAGGAGAAGTCTGCCAAAGCAAAGGTGGAAAAGAAGGAGGCATCGGCAGGCTTGTCCCAAAGCCTCCTTGGATGGACCAGAGCCCCCCTTTCCCCCCCCCCCCCCCCTGCCAGGCCAGCCACTGGCAGGGGCTCTCCAAGCACTCCTGACAATCAGACTGCTGTAGCTCATCCATGTAGAAGTCACCTGGAAGGCGCAGGTCACCCCCTTGCTGCAGGCAAGATTCTCTATAAGATGCAGTGGGCATTTCTCAGGCTCCCCGTGCGTGGCAGACTGCTGAGGTAGGCTCCCGGGACATTTCTTTAATGCCAGCAAGAGCCAGCCCCATCAGTTTTCTGACCCTCTGACACTGCGTGGGCCTAGAGATTTCACCCCCTTCTTCCCATAACACTTGGTCCACCAGCATTTGGTTTTCCTGCAGGACCTCTATCCCACGTCTCCTAGAGGAGACTGTCCAAGTCCCACGGCTGGAGGTGGGGCACACAGACACACAGCTATGAGAATGGGATTAGTTGGAGCTGAGCCTGCTCTGAGCAGACCATCTCCAGGTCCCTTCCAGCCCAAGCAATCCCATATTTCTTTCACTACGAGAAATGGGCAGCATCCCCTGTCAAGTGTTGAGCATCTACAGTTGTACAGTAAGGACTGTGAAATGGCTCAGCAAGATCTATACCTACCAAGAGGCTAATAAATAAATAGCACAGTCTTTACAGCAAAGGGAAGGAGGACCAGGAACGGCACATTGAAGGGTAATTATCTCCCCACCACTGTCAGTGGTGCAGAGTGATAGCTGTTACGGTCTCTGCAAAACAGGTCCCTTTGGTGCTAAATGTCTTCTAAAAAATGATTTAGTGCCAACATCAGCCATAGTCAATGAGAGTGTGGGAGCCATACCTGCTTCATGGCCATCACACATCATATAGGGGTCGCCTGGGGAGCAGGTGTGCCAAAGAAACACCACACATGGCTCACAACTGCTTGGTCCCCAGGCCCCAACTCAGACCTCCACTGAGTCTGAGACTGATGTGGTCACCACAACCATTCTGCTGTGATATGTGTCCTGGCACTCAAACCAAATCCCACTTGTGTTTTTTACATGCCATGGACAAAGGTTTAAGCTCACCTTCCTGCCCATGGCTGAGGAACAGAAGATGCTGTAGCCAACTCTTGCTCATCTCCAGCCAGCCATCCCTTTACTCAGCTGACCTCGGTGCACACAGCCTAAGCCCACGACTGCATGGCTGAATCAGCACACGTACTTATGTACAACCAAAGGAGGAAAGGCGGAATACCCTGAATGATGGGCAGTGATGTGGGACTCGGTGGCAGAGGGGAAGTCCATGATAGACTCCTTGGAGAAGTAGACTTTGGGACACTGCATAGCAAGTGCATGGAATAAATGTACGTACATGAAACCCGGTGCCTTGGGGAAAAGGTGGGTTAATAACTGAAAAACAACTCCGTCTCTCTTATGCTTTAGAGTAACTTTCAGTGGCCTTAGGTCTGAGTTCTGCTGATGTTGGGTGAGGGCAGAATCTGGACCACTTTGTAACGTGGGTGGAGATGCTTGGCGCTGGTGTGTTCTGGCTTCCCTGTGGGTGGAACGGGATCAGTTCCTAGCCAGCTTTCAGCTCTGCCAAAGTAATTTGTGAAGTCCCTGATAAATGTAATTTATTTATGTAGCAAATAAATGTTGGAAATCTGTGGCGCCTGTTACGCTGCTGTAATGCAGGTGACACCCTGGGTGATGTGCTGCCGTCAGAGCTGAGAGACACAAGGATCTGTCTGCAAGTCCTCACCTCCCACCCCTAATTGTGACACAAGACAAGACGTCGTTGAGTTTGCTAGAAACCCACCTTAGCGGCATCACCAGATTGGAGGTTCGGCTGCAGCTTGATTCATGTTCACCTTTATTTTGACTCCACCTTCATACTGGTGAAATACCACGAGCCTACTGCCATCAAACTTTCATCCATGTAGTTTTTATATCTGGGAGCCTGACCCAAAATGTTGGAAGTAGCAGCAGGTATTGTGCCTTGCTGGCATCTCTGGGTATCCCCAAAACCCTTTCAGCTACCAGGCACGTCCCTTTTTAACACAGATCTGCTGCTGGACCTTTGGTAGGTGTTTCTTGGCATCTCCGTGATTTCACATTTATTCTTTACCACCAAAACAGCCAGGACATGATGTGCTTCCTTCCAGAGTAAGGGTCAGCTCTCCTCCTCCATACAGGTGTCCTCGCATGGCTGAAGCCACCTTGAGCTGCCGAGACCAAGGGCTCTGTCTCTGCTGGTGGCTCAGGTCAAGGTCCCTGGCTGCCCGGGATGACAAACAGAGTCACTCACCTCCCAGTGTCCAAGTGGGTGACTCACATGGCAAAGCCCAGTGACTCTGCACTGCCCTCCTGACTTGGATACTCTGGGAGAGAAAATAACTCATTCACTAAGGATCTAAATTTACCCAGCAGCTGCATCTGCTGGAGCTGCCAGAAGGAGCTAATCTTAGACACTGAGTGAGCGATCTGTTAGAGAGGCAGTTCATGGGAGAATTTGGGCTTTTTCCCCCCATTTGCCTAAAGTTACCCCCTCGTTTATCACTGTTGTTAGAAGCCCAGGGCGGTCTGGTGGGCCAGGAGCACCCAAGTGGTGCTATCATCTCAACCACGTCTCACTATCTCAACCACGTCTCACTCTTCAGCGTTGTGCAGCAGACCCTCACCCTCGGCATAGGCCTCCATGGAGAGGGATTTATCAACTGCTCATCTCTCTGCTGGAGAAGAGTATTTTGTCTAATCTGGTCATGGCCTGCCTGTTAGTAAAACCTGCCTGAGAAGCCAAGAAAAGCAATTATTTATTGCAACTACAAATCCAAATTAACAGCCCTACACTGGACACTTTCTTGTTCAGCCTGGCATGGCTGTAATTCCTGCATTCACTTCTCGTGTTCTAAAATTTTGTATGGGAGGTAGTGACCCTGCTACATTGCATCCCCCATGGATGCTTTCCATGGATGCTCACCCACTCCCACATTATGGGGGGACTATTGCCCGATTAGAGATACACTTAATAACTGACTTAGTCCATTGGTCACAGGAAATCACTAGCTGTCGTCCCGTTAGGCCTGGGGCCAGTTGGTGGAGGGCTATTTCAGAACAGCCCACCTCATTCAGGGCTGTGCTGGCTGTCCTAAAGCAGTCAGCACTCCCGGGGGCCATACCCTGGGGAGAGTCAGTTCATCCATTCATGTGTTCATGGAGAAAACCGAATGGTAACAATCATCACTGCTCTCCCTTATCGCATCCACAGGTGCCATCTCATCTGCTTTTAGATGCTAAATCCCTCTGGGCTTGGCTCGGAGACCAGCTTACCTTAGTGGTGACACGTTGGGCCCAGCAAATGGAAGACAGATGGGACAAGCCTACTGTGACCAAAGCCTCCACAAGAGCTAATGGTTGCAGAGGGCTCAGAATTGGTGATTGCCTCAAATTCCACTGCTATCATCTGAGAAAAGTCTCCTATAGCAATCATAGGTGGCCTTGGCTCTCCAGTCCAGCAAGGCTGAGACCAAGCCCCCCCCAAATCCTATTGAATTCCCTGAGCATAAATAGATTGTAAAACGGCAACGGCCAACCAGTGTGAACAAATGAAAACCAGGAATGAGGGAAGACACACAAGTGAGAAAGCAATACCGTGCCTGAGATCCAGACTGGAAGCGTGTAACCTAAAATGTAAGAAGGAAAATAATCTGAACACCAATACCTGGTGGGAGAGAAGATGTGAAGCTTGTGGATCAGAGCTGCATGGAGCACTGCTGGCTTGTCACACCCAGCCCCAGGAAGGGTCAAGAGAGGTGCACGGTGGCTCTGAGAGCACCCCTGGGTCTCCCCACAGCACAGAGCTGCTCAGAGGGGTTGGGTCCACCAGATCGACCCTCTGTCCCACCAGGCTGTGGAAGAAATTTGTCTGGGGAGGGATCAGCCTTATCTAAGCTGAGTGCAGCTCAGGAGCCAGGGAGGTTTACAGACCATGTGAGGTCAGAGTTAACGCATAGGACAGAGCCTGTATGTCCAGCCTGGGCTGTATATGGTACCTACATCCCTTTGGATGACAGGGCTTGGGATGGGTGCTGCTATGATGGAACTGATAGCAAAAGAATGGTGGAAACGTAAGGCAGGGGATCACAGGTGTGACTGTTGCCCCAAGCCATGATGAGGATAGCATCCCAGCACTGCTGGTGTTAGGGGGCACGGGGGACAGTTGAGGGCATCTAGTCTGAATCTGTGATTTAAACTCTCCGTAGAGCAAATGGGGACAGATGGGCATCACTGCCGTCCTCTCATCTCAGGCAAGGGTCTAAGTTGGGTGCAGTGAACCAGCTCCTGGAGATACCTGTCTCTCCCCGTGCCTGTAGGGAGCCTAAATGACATGGTGCACCGAGGAGACAGTGCTCTGGAAAAACCAGGGCTGCTTCCCCAAGCCTTGGAGCTGGTCCAGCCGCTGTGCAAAGCCACCGAAGCTGATGAGGAGCCCGGAGCACGTTTGGGACTGGCACGGTGCTCTTCCCCTGGGTGGACCACAAACCTGGGAGAAGCTGCAGACCCACCAATCAGTCGGGAGCGTCTCTGGGAAGGGATGGGCTGCAGCTGCATTTTATCAGCAGCACCTCGTGACGTGGGGGATGTGGAAGCAAACCTTGGGTGGCAGCACGCACTGAGCATCACAGGGAGAAGGAAAACGAGGACTCAAGGGAGATTAAAGGCAAAGGGGGGGTGGGGTGGGGGTGGAAATCCCAGCCGGCAGCACGACAAGGCAGGGTTAAACTTGGGGAAGTGCAGAGCTCATGCAGAGGGAAGGGAGGGGGAGGACGGGGTTGTCCAGCCCCAGATATCTGGAAGCAGAGGAACGTTTCTGAAGTTCGACCCAGCTCAAAGATCAGTGCTCGTCATCTGATCCTCTCACAGATGAGCAGCACAGCAGAAAAGCTTATGATGTGAGCTCCGAAAACAGCTTGGGATTATTTCCCTGCTACACTGGTACCTCCAAGATGCTGCTGGAACCTCACCAGTACAGAGGCTTCATACCAGTATAGCTTCCTCCCTCTTCCCACTTATGTCGATAACCATCACGGCACAAACCACTTTTATAAATACATCCATGCCAGGGTAAGGGGTTGTGTGCCTTTAAATACACCAAAAAGAATGGCTAATTGAACCATTAATTAAATCTGTGCCATTGCTGAGTGTCGGCCAGCCCAGAGGGTCCATAGTAACAGAGATAAAATAAAACAGATTCATGGATAAGTTTTACCATAGGTATATATAACTATAGCTACTCTGCTCATCCATGTCTGTTAGAACTAATTGGCTTCTTCTTGAGCTCCGTGGGAAGAGCTGGACCTGGAGTGGCCATCTGAGGCCCCACAGGACTTCCTAGACATCCATGGACATGCAAGCAGGACACAAGACCTGCTGGAGACTTCAGCCTTTCTGGAGCATCAGCTCAAGGCCAGGCAACTTGTCCTGCTGCAGCTCTGGACTTCAGCGTGGGGGTGTTGAATCTCGGTAGACCTTAGCAGGAGACCCCTCAACTCACAAGAAGATACCTGTGTTTAGATGGCCTAACCCGTGAGTTGAAGTCCACCGTTGTGCTCTCTCCTGTTCCGCCTCAGACCCTCTCTCTGCCACCAAGAGGTGGAGGAGATGGATTTATTAATGACGAGGTGTTCAGAGGCTGTGCCGGTGGGGCCCATGCAGGTATTGCTGAGAAAGCAGAGCCATCCATCTCCCAACCTCCTCGAGTCTCCTCCTTTAGTGAGACTTTTTAAGTAACTTCCCGCATAGGTCTCATACCCCATACAGGGGTGTAAATAAATAGCTCTATCTTCATTTTCCACCCCCTCCCAGACCTCTGAAAACTGACTCCAGAGGAGAATAAAGGACAAACCTGGGCAGAAAAGCAGCCCTGGGAGTGAGCTGGCTGGAGTCGGGGATGCCACAAAGCCCACATAAGACGCTCCCTTATTGCATCTTTCCAGCTTTGACTTCACGGTCTATTTTTAGCCCAGCAAAAGGTTTAGCAGTTTCGGAGCAGTGGGTTTAGGGGTGTGGGGAGAAGGTCCCAGCCCAGCCCACTGGTGAGCCAGAAGGCAGATTCGGGTGTTTGATTCATCTGGAGATTGTTTCCCAAGCGCAACGCCTGAGACACTGGGTCGCGCGTGTCTCCCCTCATGGGACGGCAGCAAAATCTCCGGTTTCCCCCTGCGGTGACGCAGGGGCTGATGGAGCCTTCCTGAAGCATCGAGGCTGGAAGTACAGCTGTTCCCCCGTCCCCCTCCCTTCCTCCTTGTCCAATGTGTCATATTAAAGGGTGATCGGCTTACACATGCTCCAGTATGGATTCCTTAAGCTTTGTAACGCTGTGGCTATATATAAAGCCCTACGCTGGAAACTGAAGTACCCAGACAGCTGCGACAGTAGCAGGCGTTTCACATTCCCAGTGTGCTGACAGTCTGGAAGCAAGGGAGACGCGCTTGGAGTAAGTTCCTTTACCAGGGGCTCAGGTATAGATATATTCATAAATATATATATATAAAAGAAGGACTGGGGAAAAAAGGAGCGGTTACTCTTCACCATGGGTTTGCCTTTTGATCAAGTGGAAGAACTGCGTCTCTACCAGCAAACTCTCCTCCAGGACGGACTCAAAGACATGTTGGACCACAATAAGTTTCTGGACTGTGTCTTGAAAGTCAAGGGGAAGGAGTTTCCCTGCCATCGGCTGGTGCTGGCAGCTTGCAGCCCATATTTCCGAGCGATGTTCCTCTCGGACAAGGAAGAGAGCAAGAAGAGGGAGGTCAGTTTGGAAGATGTTGATCCAGATGTCATGGGCAAGATCCTCCATTATATCTACACCTCCGAGCTGGAGATCACAGAGCAGAATGTGCAGGACATCTTCTCTGTGGCCAACATGTTCCAGATCCCTTCCATCTTCACCGTCTGCGTGTCCTTCTTGCAGAAGCGGCTCTGCCTCAGCAACTGCTTGGCTATCTTCAGGCTGGGCTTGATGCTGGATTGTGCCCGGCTGGCCGTGGCAGCTCGGGATTTCATTTGCGATCGCTTTGCGCTGGTCTCTCGGGACGAGGAGTTCTACCAGCTTTCACCCGATGAGCTTATTGCAATCATCTCCAGTGACTCCCTCAACATTGAGAAAGAGGAGACTGTCTTCGAAGTGGTGATGAAGTGGGTGGGGACCAAGGACCATGAGAGCCGGCAGAAGGCCTTGCCTGTCATCTTTGAAAGCATCCGCTTCCGCCTCATGCCCAACGACTACATCAAGGACCACGTGGAGAAGCACGCCATGGTGAAGTCCAGCCCGGAGCTGCTCAAGAAGCTGCAGATGGTGAAGGATGCCCAGAAAGGTAAATTCACCGTGGTGAAGAAGAAGAAAGTGAAGAAAAGCAGTGAAAAGCAAGAGAAAGACAATGTTGTCAATGGAGCAGTAGATGAGGAGGAAGATACAGAGGAGGCTTTCCCAGGGATCTTAAATGACACAATGCGCTTTGGGATGTTCCTCCAGGACCTTATTTTCATGGTGAGCGACAGTGGAGCAGTGGCCTATGATCCCACTGCCAACGAGTGCTATTTTGCCTCCCTGTCTACTCAAATCCCAAAGAACCACATCAGTCTGGTGACCAAAGAGAATCAGATTTTCATTGTCGGGGGACTGTACTACAACGAGGACAGCAAAGAGGATCCCATGAGTTCCTACTTCCTACAGGTACTACCTTTATCTTTCTGTTGTTTCTTTGACCACTTGGGAGCATCACCAGTCTTTAGCTTCCATGTACTGCCAGTAATATGCATTGTCATGTGAAGTTAAAAAGGAAGTTGTAAATGAAGGTGCAACATCTGAGTTGTTTCACTAGAGATTCTTCCCTATATTTTTAAGGCAGATCCCCCTAGGGGGGCAGGGGAGTTTCTAGTCATTGAGGAAGGAAGCTTGAAGGGGTAGGTAATAGGAATAACCCCCTCCTGATCCCAGTCATGAATAGGGGATGATGTTGAACCATGTATTAGATCCAGCCCTGGCTGCCATAGGGCACATTAACTGGAAGCTTAGTGGCATCGGGTCTGGGTTCAGCTTTGCATCTTTTATGTTCCCTGGTTGTGAACCCCCCCAAAAAAAACCCAGTGGAGGGAACAGCAGCAGCTACAGCCACAGAGCTAACACTCCAAGGACACAGGGTATGTGCCCCTACCAATACGTGCCCCATTTCCAGTGCTGTTCTTGCCCCTGGAGGTGTGCTAGGTCCAGCTCAGACTCTCTGGCCATTTCTCTCATGTGCAGGGGAAACCATGGTGTGACATGGGATCCTCCACGAGAAAAGTGGCTGTTCTAACTCAGCAGTAACCAAAGCTGTCATCAGATCAAGCTGTGCACAGGCAATCTGAGCCCTGGCCTGAGCTGTAACCTCAGAGCACTTTCCCTGTAGACAGCCAACACAAGGCACCTACCCTTCTTGCTGACCCTCCAGGAATCCAGTAACTCCTCTGTCCTTCTCCCCATCCCCAGAAATCCTTTTGTTCTTCTCCCATGGCTCACATATCATCTGAGAGGAAACAATAACACGTCCAGGCAGAAAAGATAAAGTGAGGGTTGTTCCTAAGCCAAGACACACAGCCTTGATCCCCCTGTTGCCTCATTGCATGGGTAGGTCTGTACACCATGCTTGTCCTCACCTGGAAAGGGTCAGGTTTGGAGCCTATGCAGCTCACCTAAATCCCATGAAACGAGAAGTCAGCAGGATGAAACCACAGCCCTAGAAAGCAGGATGGAGGGGGAAGGCAGTGGGAGTGCTGGGGGAAATGGTCTTTGAGATACAAACCTTCACACTGGACAATGGGTGACAACCAGCGGCTGTGGCCAGCTGTGTCACTTAACCTGCAGGTAGATGGGCTGCTTTGTGTTCAGACAAAACCTATGTCTAAAGATCAGTGCTCCACCAGTTTGGTCAGGCAAGGTAATTCCGTGAGCGGCAGTGAAGGTCCACCATGTCCTAGGCTGTTTCAGCACGACTACAGCAAGCAGGTCAAGGGAAGTCGATTTTTCTTTTTTCCCTTTGATCATACACTTGTGAGACCACATCTGGATGCTGTGTCCAGTCTGGGGCTCCCCAGTACAAGGGAGACATTGAGGTACTGGAATGAGCCTAGCAGAGGCCACCAAGATGGTCAGGGTTGGAGAACGGGAGGTACAAGGAGAGGCAGAGCTGGATCTGATCAGCCTGGAGAAGGGCAAGGGAAGACCTCATTTGGTGTCTGCAACTCCCTAATAGGAGGAGACACAGAAGAGGGATCCAGACTCTTCTTGGATTTGCACAAAGGTGGGAGAAGAAGCAATTGCCAGGAGTTGCAGTAAAGGAAATTTCAGTTAGCTGTGAGGAAAAGCTTCCCAACAGAGGTGGTGGAGTAGTGGATCAGGGGTCCAGAGGGTCACAAAACCTCCATCCTGGGAGACATTTAATATTTGACTGCACGAAGCCCTGGCAAGCTGCTCTAACTCCAAAGCTGCACCTGCTTGAGCATGGGAGCTGGATGAAAGACCTTTGGAGGTCCCTTCAACCTAAATTATTCTGTGATTCTATGCTGCAAACAGCAAGATTTCTATATTCAGCTCCCAATTTTCCACTGACTCAGTAGCAAATGCCTTGGGCATCGTGTGGCCATCTTTAGCTTCTTCCCCACAAGAAGGGGGCAGCGGTCCCTTCACGCCTTGCTGGGACACTCGTGCATGGGAGGTGCAGAGAAGTCCCAGGGCTGGAGGGTGCCATTCGTTTGCAAAGGTGTCATTTATTGCCGCCAGTGCCATCACATAGCTCATGGTTTCTATATGAGTAAGAGCCTTTCGAGCCTTTTTTCAGCTGAAACTTCACACAGATGTAGTCAGGCAGCTGTAGGATGGACCACTCTAACACCGTGTCAGTGCAGCAGCATTTTACACCCTGTGACTCTGGTTTTGGCCTCCCTGATTTCACATTAACCTGCTGAAGCTAGGAGAGTTAGGTCAGGGATAGTTTAGATTTAAGGACAGGCACCAAAATACAAAAATGCTGAAAAATCCCAGCGGCCTTGCAAATTTTGACAGGAACAAAACGATGCCATTGACATTTCAGATGGAAAAGGGTATCCTTTATTTGTCACTTCCAAGATTTATGACTTGAAAACAATGCTGCATCCATCAAGAAGCAGGAACTATCCTGGTGACTGGGCTGCTCAGACTTGCACTATAAATAACTCCTATGTGGACCACAGCTTACAAAGAGACAATAACCACAGGCACCCAGCTGAGGCCAAGTCTTCGGAGGCAACCCAGCAAGCTGAAGCTCTTTGGCCCGAGCCCATAGCAAACAGTGCTTCAGGCAGCGATGCGTCACAGCTCCATCTTGCAGAGTCCCACCAAACTGGCTGCAAGATGTCACTCCAGCCTTAACCCATGAAGTCCCTCCTCTGCTACCAAGCTACATTAAAAGTTTTTGCCCCAGTTCACAGTCCCCATCAAGCCATGGTGCCCAGAGAGCCCTCAGCCTCATAATCTTCCACATCTTTTTTTTTTTTTTTTTCTGGTGGGAGATGAGGCAAAGCCTCGATCTACAGACATCCAAGAATCCACAAGGATTTGGCCATCTGATCTAGTCATACTAGTGCTGTATGGATCAGTTTCCCCATCTATCAGATGGGTCTGGCACAATTTGGTCAGGAGGAAGAGCTCTGGGCTTTGCAGCACCGTCTCCGTTGTTTTGTACTGTATTGAGCAGATAGGTATCGTGTCAACAGCCTTTGTGCAGAGGGACACACACAGGTTTCATCTCACGAATGCTCACACCCCCTGAGGTGGTATGGGACAACGTCTGTATCTTGAGAAGCAGAGGAGGGACACAGTAACTGATCATTTGCCAGAAAGAAGGAGAATTGGTGGGAGAAGAAGGGGCTCAAGTGAGTGAGCTGTGTAGCCAACATTGCCAACACCACACTGGTACCCGGCAGAGATGGAAAATATCAGGATGAAATGCTGTGGCATGTGTTACAGCTGAAGAGGTTCAGGCAAAATTTCTAAGATCATAGAATCATAGAAAGTTTAGGGTTGGAAGGGACCCCTAGAGGTCACCCAGCCCAACCCCCCTGCAGGAGCAGGGACACCTTTAACCACATCAGGTTGCTCAGAGCCCCATCCAACCTGACCTTGAATGTTTCCATCTGTTATAGGTCCAACATGAGACTCTCTCATCCAAAGATGACCAAGCTTGTTCCAAATGAAGGCTTTGGTGCGCAGAGCAGGACATGTTCCTGCTGGTGCAGCTCTGCTCTTACGTCTTGTCATAAAACATATGCCATATGATATAAGACTTGGATTTGCACTAAGATACCCCACCCTGCCCCAGATGGCAAGGCATGGGCACAGACCAACATTGCAGAGAGTGCCTACTGGGGTGACCAAGCTGCACGTGGGAACGGACTTTGCCCTCAGCCTCTGGACCCTCATTTTTGCTAAGCGAATGGGCCGGGTGTGCGCACGCTAATGACCATGTGTTCCCTTTCAGTACGACCATCTGGATGCAGACTGGCTGGGGATGCCCCCCCTGCCATCCCCTCGCTGCCTCTTCGGCCTGGGAGAGGCGGAAAACTCCATTTTTGTGGTTGGAGGGAAAGAACTGAAAGAGGGAGAAAAGACCCTGGATTCGGTCCTGTGCTACGACCGGCTGTAAGTGTTCATGTGCAACCACGGGGCGGGAGGTGGTTGACAGGAGAAGGCAAAACAGCTGCCATGCAAAATGACTCCAGCCCACCAGGGACCAAAAGGTTTTGGAGACAGGGCTTGAACCCTGCATCGAGATGCTGGGACCACTGGGACTGTCTCAGGCTGAACCCTGGGGCTCTGAGCTGTCTCTCTCCAGCTGCTTCATTTATTATAATTGAACCTCCGGGAGATGGAAGCCATAACGGGGATATTATGTTATCAGGGACCAAACCTAGCAGATGCTCATGTGGGACTTGTACAGAGAAACAAGGGGACTTTTTCCTTCTGCTCTTGGTTTGGAGGTCCAGCAATCTTCCCCATGGTCTCACTAGGAATGGCTTTGGACAGGAAAGTTTGTTTTGAAAGTATTCAGGTGTGGTGCTGAATGGCCTGCTCTGAGAGATATCAGGCTTAATATACAATTATTTTTGCACAATGGGCTCTGACCCATGGTATATCATGAGCTTTATTAAAAGGCACCACCCTGTTCTGCTCACAGGAGGCAGAAACACCCACAGACTGCTCTTCTCTGCCCCGAAGAGGCAGAACAGTAGGCGTTAACAAGCCTTTGCTTGGTCTATATTTAGATGGGAGTGCTTCAAAGTCTGGTTTATAGGCAGAGAGTTGAAACCGGTTTCATTCCCAGGGAACAGGGCATTTATCTGCCCCTGGAGACGCTGGGAAAGGATGTGTCTGCCCCTGCTAAGTGCTCAGGGGGTGCTCTGAATACCGACTTGAAGCTGGTAGGGATGTGATTTCTATTTCTAGTATTATTTAGGTCAAAACTTCAACTGTAACAAACCTGGAGAGGGCAAACTGCTGGTCTATAGGATCAAATACTATCCCAGAGTGGTTGGACAATTAGAAAGCACTCAGAGCCCAGGCATCTCAGTTCTTAGGTAAAATAAAGTGCAGGTCTTGGGGGCCTCAACCTACAACTACTGGGGACGAGTCTAAGCTACGTGGACATGGACAGACATCTCTTGAGAAATTGGTCAGCCCTGTTTGAGTACCAGTTTGGGGTTTGCAAAGCCTTGTAGCTACATACTCTGCTCAGCTTCCCTGGAGCTAGCTCAGAGCCTTCAACACAGCCTTGCACTATAAAATGCGGGCGTACCCATGGTGGGTGGGTGTTGGCCAACCATTGCACCTCAAAGTGGAAGGTGATGGCCAAAAAGGAAATTTGTCCTCGTGACTTTGCACCCCTAAGTCACATTGGTTTTAGTTTTTTCCATAATGCAGAAATCTCTGTCACGTCTGTGTCTAGCTGGTAATGCTTGTAAATGAGATGAGGTCCTGGGAGAAGAGGGGCTGCGTACACACAAAGCCCAAAAGTAGAGGATGCTGAAGATAAGAATGAGCCTTACCATAAGCATCCTCCATATCTTGTCTTCCCTTTTTTTTTTTTAGGATCACAAAATTTACTGGTTGAGCACTATCTCATTGGAAACCTCATATTTTTGAGATTGTGTTTTCTGTTTGTTGGGATCTGTGCTCACCTCTAGGTCTGGAAAGTGCCACGTACTCTGGGCCTCATCCAGCCAGCTACAAAACCTTTCACTTCCCATCTTTCCCTGATCCAGGTCCTTCAAGTGGGGTGAAGCAGATTCCCTTCCCTACGCAGTCTATGGCCACGCGGTGGTATCGCACAAGGACCTTGTCTACATCATTGGCGGCAAAGGAAGCGACAAGTAAGTCAGAAAGGAAGAGAAATGGGGGGAGTCATCCCCCAAACTAGTGGGAGTGAAGAGCATGAGTTGGTACCTGCCCAACCTGGATGCTGTGGGTTACGGAGGGTTGGATGGGGTGTGAGACGTGGATCCTTCCCTCTTGCTCACCTCTGTGACTGCAGCCCTTCCCAAGCCATTAGGAGTCCTACACCAGGGAGATGGCACTGTCCTTGCAGGAGAGGGAACATAGCATCCCCTCTACTCACAACAAATAAATATCGCACAGATTGGGAGTGGCATTGAAAAGGAAGATGCCCCTGCACATTAAGGGTCTCCTGTCTTGGACTTGCAGCGTGGTATGGTCCTAGTAGTCAAACGCAGATGGGGATTTGCAATAGGGGTGAAGAACTTCATCAAAACTGACCCCCATCCTGCCCTCCTGCAGGAGATGGGCTCAGCAGTAAAAGCCTCTCTTGGGGACCATTGCAGCAATTTCTTTGCAAGGCTGAAGCGTGACTGTTTGCAGACCCAAACGTGCCATAATCCAGCCAAGACAGGTCCTGCTCCGAAAGGATTATGGCCTGAAAAGTGTGAGCGTGCATACATTCACGCACCTTACATTGCCATCCCGGGGAAGGGGGCCGTTACTGATGGTATTTCACAGTTTCAAGGTGGATCAGCAGCACTGAAACTCTGTCTGATGTCTATGGGTGAGGTCCTGCGAGGCAGTTAGCTACATGGGCCCCTGTCCAGCTGCGTGAATGCAATGTCGAGCTTTTAGGAAGCCTATCCAAAGCGGGTACACCAGGAGGAGTTGTGCCATACACACAAATGATGTCTCCAGGCGTAGGCATCCTTGGGTGCACACCCAAGCAAAGGCATTCATGTCGATGTGGAGGAGCAAAATCCTTTCTGGAGACCCCACATTCTTCCCAGAAGATGTTCACCGCCTCCTGCAGAGCAAAGCTGCCCCTCCGTCAGGCAATTGAGCCTTCTCTCTCTCATATTTCTCTAGGAAGTGTCTGAAGAAGATGTGTGTCTATAACCCATCCAAGTTTGAGTGGAAGGAGCTGGCGCCCATGAAAACTGCCCGGTCCCTGTTTGGAGCCACTGTGCACAAGGACAAAATCTACGTGGCTGCTGGTGTGACCGACTCCGGCTTGACCAACTCGGTGGAAGTGTATGACATTGCCACCAACAAGTACGTACCTGAGCACACCTTCGGGGCGTAGTTACACAAGGAGCATCTGTAGGTGTACATTAAGCAACTTCGAACCATTCTGGAGTTTGCTTGCAACTCCTGATACCAGTTCCTCCCAGTCTGTATTCCTCAGACAGCTGGGCATCACTGAGACTACTGCAGTTGGGCTGTGGGTCATCTCAGGCTCACCTTCAAAGTAGTTCCACCAACTGGGTTCCCTGCAGGGCTGTAGCTTCATCTTGGCAGCTTCACCCAACACAGTAGACTCTATGACTTTGGGTGGGCCTTGCAGCTGCAGTCCCACCGCTGGGACCTGCTGGTCCATGCCAGCTGTGCTTCACAGCTCATCTGCTCAATGCAAAATGAAGTGGAACTATAACGATGGAAACAGATATCTCTAACAACAGACAATGTATGATCCCACCCCATGTAGACCTACACAAGTTAATCTGTCGCTAGTTAATTCGGTTGTTGGTTCCTGATTCAAGGCCGTCCTTGGTGCAAAGGTAGGCAGGGTGCCCTAACATGTCCCCTCTCTCGATGTGGCAGGTGGGACACTTTCACTGAGTTCCCACAGGAGCGCAGCTCTGTCAGCCTGGTGAGCTTGGCTGGGGTGCTCTACCTGCTTGGAGGGTTCGCCACGGTGGAGACGGAGTCAGGAGAGCTGGTGCCAACGGAGCTGAATGACGTTTGGAGGTGATGATCTTCCCCGGGCTGCCCAAGGGAGCATGGGAGGGATGGTAGTGAGAGCCACTGAAGGAACAGAGAGTTTCTGTCTTTCTTGACCCCCTCCATGTAAGATGGGTGTTGTTACCCCAGCACAAGGTTGCAGGCTCAGCACAGGGTATCTGGGTGAGAAGTTCGCCCTGCACTGGGCTGGCGGGCACATTAGGTGATTCAGTGACCTCTCCCAGCCTCCTATAACGACATACCAGGGAAAATCTGCTCCTGTAGCTTTGTTGCTGCGTTGACATTTTGCCTGGAGCTGGTTCCAGACCTCCCCTTTGGCATGAAGCCGTCGGTGTTTGTGCAATGCGTGCTCTCCCTGGGAAACGCCAGTGCTCAGGCTGGAAATCAGAGAGTCTTACGTGCGGGCAGAAAGCACTTTCTGACAGCTGCTAAGACAGCATTAGCTGCTCCTGTCCTTCACATCAGCGGCTCTAGAGCACCCTCAGCAGGCACCTGCTGGCCTTCACCATGGGTGTTCAGTCTTGGTGCCATCAACCTGTTTCCCAGTGGAAAAATACACCCTCCCCTGTGAGACCACGTGCTGATATACATGTCCCCCAGCCCGGTGCTGCAAACCAGAGCACACCAGGGCTGAAAGTCCCCTTGCAGCTCCCACAGATACCTTGTGGCCAAATAACGTCTGTGGACATCCCACTATGCACCAGGGCTCCCACCACTATGGACAGTGTCTGAAGTGAGGGAGAGGAGATGCTTTCGTCACCGTAACTGTCTCTCTGTCTCTCCCCAGATATGATGAAGAACAGAAGAAGTGGGAAGGGGTCCTCCGGGAGATCCAGTACGCCTCCGGTGCCACTTTCCTTCCTGTGCGCCTCAATGTTTTACGCCTAACAAAGATGTAGTGATTTATTTTTTTTCCATGGGGGTCTGGGGCAAGGAGGGATGGGAAGAGGTGAAGCCACGCTTATCAGTGCAGGGATGTGGCATCTGGATACTGTGAAGGACATTGCATCTGTGATTGGTACCATTTTACTTAGTCAAATTATCTTGAAGCCCTACGGGAACTTGATGATGCTCACAAGATAACTAGAGGTGGGATCTGGAGCCTGCAAGGAGCCGGGGTTGACCGAGAAGCCTGGAGCAAGGAGCTGTTCCAGTTTCAATAGACAGGACAAAAAGATCATATTCTTCTTCCACTTCTTTCTCCATGTTTTTCCCCATCTTCTCAACTGCTATTGAACCTTCCCAACCAACAGTGGAGGCAGAAAGGAGGTCCCAAGGGACTAAGCTGATGTTCCCCAGGGAAGGGGGTCTATAAAGTATTTCCCCGCCTAAGGTAGTTGTGAGCTAGAGCCCACCTTGGAGAGAAGACAGAAGGGTGAAAGTCAAGTGGTACAGGAGAGACCTGGGGGCACTTTGTTGAGTTCTCGGATGATGAGGGTTGTTGGGATGTGACAGTAAAAAGAAAAAAGTATGTGAGCATGGGCAGCAGAAGCACTTTGGAAGTCGCAATGAAAAGAAAATAGTCTTATTTCTTTGCCTCCACCTTGACTTTGGACTGAAAGGACACCAGGAGCTAAGGTCTGCGGGAGGGGAAGAGTCATGTGAGTAGCAGGGTAGGAAAGGGGGGAAGGAACAGGCAGGGGAGTAAAGGCATTCATCTCCAGTCTTTTGGTCTCCTCATCTTCAATCACAGATCACAATGTCCTCACCTATGGTTGGACAAGTGCTGTTTTTCAGGGAAAGGTTTTATATTTATGCTGTTTCTCTAATTTTTAATGTTCTGGCCTGGATTTTTTTTAAAGAGTATTCTAGTTTGCTAAGTACGTGGAGATCTCAGATGTGTTTGGCTCAAAGAGAGCTTCCTACTGAAGAAAAATGCATCTTTTTTTTTTAAAGTTATCCATAAGGATGTTTTGATAGAAACACGACTGTACGGGCAGCAGGACAAAGATCTGCTAGAGCAAAAATCTCCTGATGCCCACACCATCTGACCAGTGGTTGATTTAAAAATAAATTATTAGGCTATTTCAAAAGAAATCTCCCAGATTTGCATGTTGATAGAGCTGTAACGGAACGTCCACCTCAACCAAACACAAGGAGCAAGCAAAAGCTGCAATGAACTCACGTGACAAACCAGCCCTGTGGAGAGCCCTAGCACAGCCCCAGCTTTTATCCCTCTTATTTTACCCCATTTGGGAGCTGAAACTTTAGCATTCATATCCTTACAGCTATTCTCCATGGATATGAGGACTAGGTTACCTATGACTAGAAGGAAGCTGGATGCCTATGTGATCTCATATACCATGAAGAGCGGCGATACTCAATAATAAAAAAGAACAAAACCAAACTTTTCAAGATAATACCCTCAAAGTGCCATGAAAATTATGGTATTAAGACTCACATATGGCTGATTCGCCCAACTCAAAATGCAGTCGTGGGGAAACTAAAATGTGTTTGGAAGGAAGGACAATTTGGCATGGGTAAAGAAACTGGAGTCTTGTCCTGGTTTCATTTTAAGGATTTAAAAAGTTACAGGATAATCTCCTTAGAGGACAATCATATCAGAACAGTAATGAAACATTTTCACAAGAAAAATAAATCCAAGGTGACTGGCTGGCACAAAATAGCTTAGAAAAAGAAAAAAAAAAGGCAAAAAAACCTTTGAAACAATCAAATGTGTGAAAAATGTACTGAAAAAAATAGTATCTTCTACCCAGTTCTGCAGAAATTCCTGTGGACAACTCCCAAGCTAATGGAAGATGAATCATCAAATGTACAATAGCTCATGGCAGAAAAGAAAAAAAGTTAAAAAGAAAAAAATAATCCAGGCATAAAATAATAAATTTTTTTTAAGTCATTTATTGTGGTGGCAGGATACCACCTCCTGCCTGGGATGGGAAACCAACACCTTCAGTTCAGCTCTTCTTGCCGGACACAGAATGGAAAGCTGTTGGCACTTGTTCTGAAGAGAGGGTTAATCCCCATACACCCGCTGCCACATTGCTTGGCTGTCCTGGGGGAAATCCGGGTCCTTTGGCGTCAACAGCAATGTTGCTGAGCCTCGATGAGTTGGTGTGGCGTTGTCCCTTGATAGCGGCTTGATATGTGCTGATTAAAACTGGTCCCCATCCTTGGTCGCTCACCTCACAACTGTCCATCGGGAACACAGTTAATCGGACCTTAGTGCTCCTGTGTGGTTCATGTCCATTATAAAGCTGTGGGAGATGCCGTTGCTGGTGCAGGGCAAGGAACCATAAAAGGAAAAATAGCTGTTGTATAAAAGGAACCAGAAGAGCTTGAAATATGCCATCACTTGAGCAACGAGGGCCAAATCTCAGTGCATGCAAGCCAGCATTGGCCCAAGGAAGGCAGCGAAGTTGCGTATTGCCAAGAGAAAATCTGGCCCACCACCTTGCCAAGAGGCTGCTTCAGTCCAAAGGCAATCACAGATAAGAAATGCCAACATGAATACTCAGCGAGGCATCACTCCTGGCTGCTGCCTGTCGTTTTCCTGGCTCAGATGCACACAGTTCCAGTGGCCCAGGTCCCCTGCGGGTATCTTCTCCGGGCAATGCCAGCAGCAAAGGAGTAGGTACATCCCAAGGGTGCGGGAAAGTCATCTCTTCTTCCATTAGCTTCCCAATATCAGTGATGACTTTAGCTGGCAAGGTTCCTACCACTCCATTTTACATCGATAAAGGCATTGGGTGCTTTTGCATGGGCTCCTTGGTTTCTCCACTGCTTGCAGTTTTGCTCAGGGATCCCCAGCTCATAGCTCACACAAATCTCATGGAACCAGTAGGATCCAGGAGCTCAGCCCTCACCAAACCCCTTCATCTACCCACTCATCACTCTTCCCTGAAAAGCTATTTTTTTTTGGCCCCACAGCAGTCCAGTTGTCTCACACACATGCACACACCTCCCACCAAACCCAAAGGCAAAGGTTATGTCTGAAGCGATGGCAGCGGTAAACATGCCATGGGAAGCCCATCCTGCCGGGCTCTGACTCCTCACACAATTGCCTGAAAAGAGACTTTAAAAAAAAAAAAGAAAGCAAAGCTAAGGTAACAAAGAAAGTGGTGGAGCTTTAGGTTTTCTTTTATAAAAGACAAATCGTTTATTGATTCAGTCCTTCCACTTGCAACCTCTTTGGTAACAGTCATAACACTTCCAGACTGGGAGAACAGTGGAAAGGCCCAATTCTGACCCTTCCCTACCTTCAGAGCTCAGTGACCCCTGACATGCCTTGGTGAGAGGCCAAAAGCAGGTTTCAAAGCACGGCCAAGGACCTGGCCTCTAGGCACAACCCAAAACAGCCTACCATGACTCGTCTTGCTCATGGGTAGCCCAGAGCGCAGCCCCAGCACCCCCAGGAACAAGATGGCTCGGGATGGGGATGCATGTTGGGCCCTCGGTGCCAAGGCTGACCGCGAGCTGTGCCCTGGAAGGCAGCTTGGGTGCACCTCTTGGGACCTCCCAGACATTGGTCAACGGGGCCGTCAATGAAGCAAGACTCGCCCGTTCCTGTGGTAGGCAATGACTTGCCCCAGCTGGCCCAATGCTGAGGCACTAACCCGAGCATCTCAGCCTCCCCCTCATCACACCATCCCAAAGAGAGTAACTGCTGTACTTGGAGTTAAAGATAAACATATATTGATTACACATGGTCATAAAAAAAAAAAAGTAATAATAATAATACATTTCCTAGAACATTACTTAAGACGCTTCCGAAAAGCATCCAAGCTTCCCCTCCCCGCCTTCCCTTATCTATACAGAATAAAGTGCTTCGTTTCATTTGTTCACACTAGTAGAGCCACCGATACACTCTTAACTTGGCATGTTTGGGCAACCGATACTGAATGCCATAAAATAATACAGAGCCGAACACCAGGCATGAAAAACTAGTTTTGAGGCAAGTGCTTGGGGTTTCATTTGCTTCCTTCAAGTTCCATGCTACTGAGGTTGTTCTTATTCCTATTTTTTTCATTTTTTTATTATTATTATTTTCTTCCTTCGCAAGTTCGACCCATCTCCCATCATGGTTACGTGTCAGTAGGCAGGGCTGCATGTGGGGAAGCTCTCTCCAGCCGTGTGAACAACGGGCGTCTGTCCATCCTTCCCTCTCGACTTCAGGCAAACCAAGAGTTTCATCAGTGGAATTGTCTAGCAGCGGATGCTCATCTCTATTGCACTGTCACAGCCGTTCCCCCCCGCCGGCTGTCCATCCATCCATCACCTTCCCACCGCGCTGGGGTTATGGCTGTGGTCCAAAGGGCCAGCCATGCCTCACGGACATTGAGGCTAACTGGTCTGTGCTACCAGGCTCCTGGGATATATAAACCAAAAATGACCCTCCCCACATGGCTCCCTCCCTCCCTCCCCAGAGTTCAAATGAAGGGGGGAAAAAAAAATACTCAAACCCAGAGAGGTCTGGGGTTAGGCGTGTGGGCAGAGTTGTCAGCTGAACGTTGCATTGCGGCATATTCATGAACTGTGTAATGGAAATCAAGCCCCTCTCCACCCTCGCGGTCTGTCGAAGAAGGGATGTGAGAGATTAAGGTGCAAGAGTTAAACAAAAAAAAAAAAATTTTTTTTTTAAAAAATTAAAATAAAATATAAAAAAAAGCTTGAAAACAACGGACTCAACTCCCCCGCCTCCTGCCCCATCTAACCCAATGGGTGCCAACCAGGATGGATGCGGGACGAGACACTGTGGGAGCGACTCGTTTGAGCTCGTAGTACATGAACGAAAACCAGACACGAAGAGACACATCAGGGCCAAGTAAGGGTGTAGACAAAAGGGCTCGGAGGCCATGTGGCACTCCTGGGAATCTGCCCAAGCCTTGGAGAGGGGAGGGAGCAGCAGGGATCTGGTTCTCCAAAGTGCTGTGTGCATGGT